TGGAGGGGTTGTGTTTTGAAGGGGACAGGCAAGTCATATTGAAAACTGTATTTCTCATTTCACAGGCTCCCCTGAGGTATAGTGATTTGATGGTGAAGAGTTGGAATATTGGATAGAGATGAAGGATTTTCTTGTTCAGGTCTAGAAATATCTTTATCTTACTTTTGTCTAGAAACTCTTGTCCTTTACTGTCAAGTGTTCCACTCTGGCTAATTTTTTATCTCCTACCATGAAGAAAATGTAGCAACTCTGTCATTACTCATAAAGCAGGTGGTTCTTTGAAATGTTTATATTGAAAGAAAATAGAGATTTTAGCCTCTGGAATTCTAGTCAAATGCTGATATTGTTGCTCAGGATTCTACATCCTTGGCTTCTGGAGAATTGCTACTGTTTCATTGTTGACAAATGCACATCTTATCTGCATATTCAAGAAGATGCCAGCAATGTTATATTTTCTGGTCATGTTATATTATCATCTGGAATTTTAAAGAGTAAATGTGGAATTGTACATCTTCCCAGCACACCTCTCCTTAAACTCTCTGGCCATAGTCACTGTGTTCCAACCCCTCACTTCTCTTTCAGAATTAACCAGGCCTCCTCTTTTCATACACTGCCTATAATGAGAGGTACAGACAAAGGCTGTTTTGGTGGGCAGCCTCCGTTAGTGTCACCTGAGTTTTACTCAAGAATATTTTTCTAGTCTCCCCCCAACATGATTTCTTGATTTTAAATAAAGAAGAGGAACAATCACCCCAAATTACTAATTAGCCTTCATTTTGTGCCTTTCTGGAAATTGAGTTTGCTTACAGCATCACCTAAGTTGACTTTTCTGCCTACAGTAGTATCAGACAGAGAAGCTGAGTCAGACTATTAGACATACGGGACTACTGAAGAAGACAGTGTGAACAGACTGTGCCAGGACTTTGTCAGAGGTTCCTTGATGCTGATAAAAGAGGTTGTGGGTTATGATGACTTTTACTGATTTATTCTTCTAGAAATCAACACAAATAGGTTTTATTGTAATATAGGAGATACTAGAAGTAGGGCAGATGAAGTTATTAATAAGAAATCTTTTATTAGACCATCCAGGTACCTCTTAAGGAAAGATGGATTAACCCACATGATTTAGAAAATCTACACCCACTTCTCTGTAGAGGAGCTCTCCCTGTGGTCTCATCACAGTAGACTCAGTTATGAGTGACACAGAATCATGTCTTAATTATCTCTATAAAATGGAAAGGAAACAAGTACAGGGATCAATCTTTAACAGCAAGAAGCAAAAAAAAAATTGTGTGTTTGTGTGTGTGTGTGTGTGTGTGTGTGTTTGTGTGTGTATGCTAACTTTACCTTAAGGTATTAGTTTTCAAGTCTATTTTCCTCGGAACAAGACGAAGGACATAATTTGTGAGGCCTAGTGAAAGTGAGCATTGAGATGGTAATGTTAGGGTATCTAGATTGCAGTAAGTAAGAGGCTGGGATGGTGTGGCCTCCAGGAGCCTACCAATGTGCACAGTGCTGGCGTGGCATGTACTCCTGACCCTGACCTTCCCTAAATCAGGACTCTGTCCCTTCCAGAGTGGAGGGTAGTGGCAGTGACTGGATGGGATAGTAAGTGAGACCTGGGCACAAGGCCAGGGGAGTGACATCCAGGAACCAACCAAATCAAAGGCTGAGGGCAGGGACTCCTCATCCCCAAGCATGCTGCTTTGTCCCTTAAGCCACTTAAAAACATAAATTCACATTTAATTGAGAAATCTAAAATGACAACTGAAGAATATTGAATTTCAAGGGCCCCATGTGACTGGTCTCAAGTCCCTTAAGCTGACCTGGCTTGGATTTTTACCAGTGTATATTGTTAATATCAACCTGTCATATGAAAAGTACCCTAGCATTATGTTGTATTATGTCAGGGGAAATGAAATGCTCACAGATAATGTATAATATGGGTAACTTTGACATAGGATATCAAGAATCAATGAGAGTTTCATTACAATCAGTTCATTACTTATTTACTATTATTACAGAAACCAAGCTAGGAAATGCAGATGAAGGAAGACTGTCCTCATCTGTTTAGGCTCAAAAAATGCCATAAAATAGGTAGCTCTTAAATAACAGGAATTCATTTCACCTGGTTCTAGAGGTTGAGATCTCCAAGGTCAGTGCACCAGCAGATTTAGTGCCTAATGAAAAGCCTCTTCTGATGTGACCATCTTCTCACTGTAACTTCTCATGGTGGAAGGGGGAAGCTCTATAGTCCCTCCAACACCTTATAAAACAATACTAACCCCATTCATCATAGCCCTCTCCTCATGCTCTAATCTCTTCCAAAGTCTGACCTAGTACCATCACATTAGAGATTAGTCTTCAGTAAATGAACTTGAGAATATGAACATTTCAGGCCATAGCAGTGAACAAGAGAGGCTCTTTACTGGAGTTGAAAGATATAGACAGTCAAGTCTATGAAACAAGACAGACCATGATGTGAGCCATAGTAGAGGTATGAACCTTGGAGCAGTGGGAAATCAAGGAGTAAAAAGATTAATTTTCAACGAAAACCTTTTTGGAAAGAAAATGACTTCAGTCAGGCCATAATGGATGGGTAGTATTTCAACTGCCAGAGCTTAATGAGCAAACCTTCCAACCAAAGGGACAGCATGAGCAAAGGCATGTTGGTTGTTGTACCTGCACATTGGAGCATTCAGTCCTCCTCTTACTGTATTCATGGGAAATCTTACACGGGCACAGAGCTAAAGTAGGGGATATAAGTCTCAGGGATTCAGAATCAGACAAAGCTATGTTTGAGTAGCAATCTACTCACCAGCTGTGAGACCAGACATCTTAATCTCAGAAGCCTCAGATTTAGTCACCTGTAAAATAGTGTTGACACAGATATACAGTTCTAACCTCAGAGGGAATAAGAAATAGTTTGTTCTGGAGCCAAATAATATTGACCTTGACCTGGGAACACAGATTCAGGTTTCCCCAGATACCATATTCCACTGAGGAAGTGGTCATGAGATTTTATTAGTTATAGAACAAAGAAAATTATAAATCAGGGTGTTTACCAAATATATAGTAGTAGCCACAAGTAGGCAGGTTACAGCAAAGGGAAGGGAGGGGGATAAAACTTTGCTATAGGTGTCAGATGTTATCTGATGACATTCTTAGCTTTTGGATTGGTGGAAGCTAGGTCTGCTAAGAATACATTTTAAAGGTTTTGATAGTCAAAAGGTTGTTAAGTCAGATAAGAGTGAACACTGAACTTTCAAGGGGACTGAAAATAGTCCCAGATAATTTGACTTTGGTTTGTATTTTAACTCTTTATAATCATTAAAGTTCAGTCATCTGGCCTTGTAGAATCTTTAACGTAGGTGTGGCTGTCCCTTTACCCCCTGGAACTTCAGTTCACAGTAGAGACCAGTTTGGGTTTTGTTTGCTTTTGTTGGTGGTGCTTTTCTTTGTTTTTAGGATTTCAGTTTTTTTTATTTTACAAAGAAATACGGCATTTTTAGTTTTATTAGAAAATTTATAACAAAATAAAAAGTAGATGAACAATAATGGTATTTATGTCATTCAGCATATCTAACAAATCAGTGTCTGGTCATGTCTAAAATGGATTCAAGGGCTGGAGAGCTGGCACAGCTGTTAAAGGCTCAGGCTCACAACCATAAAATGGATTCAAAAGGGAAGCCCAACACTCCCAACAACTACCTGAAAGGGACAACACTAATTGGACTCTTACAGAATGCAGAAATGACTTCTACTTCAGTATGCAGAAAGCTAAATACACACATCCATCATGAAAAAAGGCAAAAAAAATACTCCTTAGCAAATTACTCTGTTTTCTATTCTAAATAAGTATACCCGTGTGTGTGTATACTCCTTTTCTTAGCAAATTACTCTGTTTTCTATTCTAAATAAGTATACCCGTGTGTGTGTGTGTGTGTGTGTGTGTGCATGCACATTATACACTAGTATAATAATTACTATAATAGTTACTCCTCTGTTGCTGTGATAAAACACTATGACCAAGGAAACTTCTAGAAGGAAGAGTTTCTTTGGCTTATGATTCCAGAGGGTAAGAGTTCATCAGTGCAGAGAAGTGGCCAGAGCAGGAAGCTGAAAGCTCAGATCTTGAAGCACTCTCGAGGGTAGAGAAAGACAAACTGGAAAATGGCAAGGCTACATCCTCTCAAAGCCCAGCCTACCCCCATGGCATGCTTCCCTCCTGCAAGGGCCTACCTTCTGAACCTCTGCAGACAGCGCAACCAACTGGGGCCAAGTATTTAAATATGAGCTTATGAGGGATATTCCTCATTCAAACCACTACAACTAGGATGCAGGGTTTTTTTTTTTTCTTTTTCTTTTTTTCTTTCTGAGATTGGGTAACCTTACCAGTTTTATAAAACTATTTATAAGGGTCAGATGAGCTAATGCTTACAAAAAATCCCATCCAACAATTTCTGTTTTGTAGAGGAGACAGTCAGGAAAGCAATCATGCTGTTAGATGTTCTGCCTTTGCCTAAGGGTATAATTCTGAGCTTCACAAAAGATGTGATACTTGGGGGGGGGCCTGATGTGGCTGAAGTATATTTAGAAGGCAGAAGGGGCCGAGAAAGATCCTCCTCACTGAGGTGAGGTTCATCAGAGTGGGGATGGAGAGAAGATTGTCCACAGATAAAGATATGTCATTGCCACCCTAGCTCACTCTGAATTGATTCAAAATACCAGACTTTTCCACTGGGAGAAAGCAGAAGACCATCTGTGCTAAGCTCGGATAGATGCAGTTTCCACCAACAGACATTCTGAATATCTTCTTGGGGGGAAAAGTCAGTAGCCAGGGAGGGGAGGTCAAGTGAAAGAAGCTACTTTTTCCATCCTCTTGAGGATTGTTTCACTTAATTCAGCAAGACATGATTGGCTCTTTAAACACAGTAGCCTTCTTGGTATTGATTGATGTGCCTGGTGCTTTAAAGTATGTGTCTTTTTATGTCTTCCAGACCGAACGTTCGCCTTTGCAGACTCAGTTCAAAGAGAAAGAAGCTGGTGGTCTTCAGCCCTCTGTAAGTACTGGCCATGCTGTACCCACCCACATAGAGTTGGTGACTGCTGTGTTTTTTAATGTATCATCAGATGTCCATAAAAGTTCATTTTAGTCTTTGCTCCTGGTTTAACTGTCTATACTATGATTTGGTAAAGTCCTTGAACTTCCTCATTTTTAGAATTAATCTAAAAAATACATCTAAGTAATCTCATAAGTAATCAAGTGCTCTGAAACCAATAACCAGGCAGGGAGTGGAGGAACTATATCAGAAATATCGTAGCGCATCATAAGGAATTCATTTTATAGTGTCAGCTGCGGCTTAAGGTCAGGCCAGAAGGAAAGGTCAAGACAAGAGGCTATTTTGTACAACATTTTTTAATCTCACTCTGATCAGCATATCTGTGTCCTTTCCCTAATTCCCCAAGCTGAATCTTAAGGTTTATTTTTGTTTTGTTTATTTGATTTAATTCTCTATTTCCTATATTCCTTCCAAGCCTGGGTCTATTTTGAGAGGCTCCTGAAGTTCATAACCATGTCCTTTTCTAGTTGACCTTAACAGATTCCAATTCCAAATTTCAAAAGTTCAAATTGCTCAGAACCACATTAGTCCCAGTTTCGCAGTTAGGAGCCGCCACCTTAGGTATTCAGGTGCTGTGAGCAACAGATGACTGAAACATGGTATGTTGTTGAACTTTACCTTGCCATAATTCCCTGTGAGGTGATAAATCCAGGACAAGGACTTTAATGAATTCTATTTTTGCTTTTCACCAAAGTGCTAGAAGAATGTAAACAGCTTCTCTGCTAATATAAGCAATGTTTGAATTTTTAGAATGCACTAAATAGCAGGAGATTTGACTATGAGGATGAGAACTCAGTGCGAGAAGATGGAATTCAGCAGATGTACCCTCTTTATAACCAGATGTGCTGCCAAGACCGGAGCCCTCGCAGGCATCACCAAAACAACCCCGAGAGACTCTACATCAACCCACGAGAACATTATGTGTGATTTTCCTCTTGTTAACAATGGGTATTCTTTCAAATGTTTATTCTTAGACTAGGAAGAGAAACTGAGGCATATAAGCAATCTCCATCTGAGTGTGTTGGAACTCTTTCAGAGCTAATCGAGGATTGTTTTCCTTCATTAAGGCTTTCTTAACCACCAGCTGTGTTTGTGAACTTGACTGTAGCTTTGTGTGTTTCTGTAACACTGGTGTTTAACTACTAACATTTGGCCTGATGGTGTGTTCATTAGAAACCATAGTATCTGCCTGTGATGCCTGCAGTGATTTTCCATCAAGAAAGGCCCCAGTTGGTACCATCAGCTTTACCAGGTCTGGGGCAGGCCGGCCTGCTCATCCGTGATTCAAAACAGGTGGAAAAATGAGCTGCAGATCTATGTCACTATTTAGCTGGGATTCTGAATTCTTCTGTCCAGAAAACAAAAGTTAGTGGGAATCTTCAAGCCTGTGCTTGTGAACCGGTGTCAGTGTAATGTGTCCCTTGCTGACCATCAGCCCCTGAGGGATCCATGGGGCCCTCTGTTCTCTGTCCCCTAGAGACTAGCTGTGTGTACAAAATCTTCTGCTCTGTCCTTCTTCCCACAGTCCTGTTTGCTAGCCAGATTAGCCCGTTTTCCACCTGTTGAATTAAAAAACCCTTGCCCAATTTGCAATCTGTTTAGCCTTATCCCTCTGTTCTCCTATACGTGATAAGCTCTGCTTTGACTTCAGAAATTTCATTCACACCAGTCTTACTCCCCAGGCTTTAGCTGCTCTTCTGCATTCTTTGAACTACTTTTCTCCCATGTTTTATCTACCTCAGAAAAGCCTGCTGGAAAATTACCATGAAATAACTCCTGCTCTTAAAAGCCTGGTGGAAATGTTGAAAACTATTTTCTGTAAAGCTATTTCAGTATGACATGTATGCTAAATCCGCATGTCCTTTTACTCCCCTCCCTACTTTACCAGGTCAACAAGACTAAAGAGGTACTACAGTGAATCCTACAGTAACCTCTCTCCAGGGTAGATAGCAACACTGTGATTCCTGCTCACAGCTGCCTAGGGACTTCTCATCTTCTCTGCCAGTAATCCCTTACTGAGACTGACAGTGCTAGTTACAGTGAGATAATTAGAGGCAGGAGGATCACCAGACATGTGTCTATCACTCTCCCTCACATCTTAAGGAAAACATAGTTATACTGTGTATGCTGGAAGATTAGAGGTATGTCACAGATATTAAAGACATAAAACATAGCCAAACATGGTGACGCATGCCTCTAATCCCAGCACCCAGCAGGCAGAGGCAGGAGGTTCTCTGTGAAATCAAGACCATCCTGGTCTACATAGTGAGTCTAGGCCAGCTGAGGCTACAGAGAGACCCTGTCTGAAAAAAAAAAAATATATATATATATATATAGATAATAAAATATAACAGTATATGCTTTTTACATATTAAACTGTGGCATAAACATCAAAATAAACAGCGTACCTTTCTAGCCTATGCCATAAGGGGAGATGAGAATATTAACAGTTTATCGTGAGATACCAAAGATATTTTATTCCTGCTGTGCTGGGCTTAGTTCTCGTGTTTTCTTTTTTGTCAGGCTTTGTGAGGCAAGTCATATAGGTTGTTCTATAGTGGTAATATGCCCCCGACCTCTTTCCCTGGGTGAGCAATATTTCTGGGATCACTCCTCAGATTCTGTCCTAATTCCTTGGTTAGGATTAGCACTTTTAGAGGTTACAGCTCTAGATCATCAAAGCATGAGCTCCACTGACCCCCACTGCTACCATGCTACCTTGCTACCATGCTACCTTGGAGTTAGAGGATATAATCAGCATTATTACTTGGAATGGCATCATGAGTTAATGTAACTAATATTATGGGATTCTTTGTGATTGTTTTCTGGTGGTAAGATGTGCTGAGGTGTTTTTTTTTTTTTTTTTTGACAGTAAAGCATTTTATAAACCCTAATGTTAGGGAAAAGATGGGAGTGCACCCCTACCTTCAGAAAGTTTTAAAAATAGCAGTGAGGGCAGTTTCTAGGATCCTGCTGGGAAGCGGGTTGTTGAATCAGTTTCACAAAAGCAAGCTCTGGCCCTGGGGGGAGAGGAGGGATGGCTTCATTTGTGCCAGAGAAAGACATTTCGAAGTCTTTTGTCCTGTCTTTAGCCCCCTCTCATGAGGAACCCACTGTCTACCTTTTGACAATTCTTGGTGTAGTTATAAAAAGGTAATTTGGGAATGTTGCTTCTCTCAGCCTGTTCTTTGTCATCTGTGCCTTTCTGTGAGCTATGAAATTTCTTGGCTGGCCTGATAGATTTTATAGCTGTTGGCCCTGTACATGGGTCACATAAGCTTCATAATAGCTTATCTTAGTGTCTCCTGTCTGTTCTCTATAAAAACTTACCTACATAGATAAGAATTTTTAAAGGGTCTGATGAACCAGGCCCCCAAATGAAAAATGCCATCCAAAATTAGTCAGCTGATAATCTGAATTTGGAGCTTAGACTACATCAAGATACCATTTAAATTTCAAAGTTAGACTCGTAAAGGTCAGTGCATAGGTTGAGGGATGTAATTCACAGCTGATAATCCTTTTCCCGTAACTAGTTTACTAAATCCCATTGAAACAGAAATAAATTCCCACAGCATTTTTACACATATGGCCTCAGCTTTGCATTTTAAGGGGGCAGGGGCACATGCTTCTCTTCAGCACAGCTTTTATTGCCTATTTTATGTTCGGTGTATTCCAGGAGTGGGCACTGCGGTTGCAGGAGCAGATCACCAGCTTCTTTGCATCTCACCGCAATGAAACATCTGCACCAACTAGGATTGGCTTGACATGATGTCTTAAGATTGGTAACAGTGTATTTCTTCTATGAGAATTCACTCCATGTCTAACATCTTAATTTTTTAAGTTTGAAGACATCTCCATGTTCTCTGGTACCCAATGTATAGAATTCTTACCTGGGCTGAGCATCTACATAAAACACATGCAATACATACTCACTCTAAACTAGGTAGTTCTCTTATTACTTTCTGTGGTATTATTTACTCATAGAAACAGGGCTAGTCCTCATTTCTGTTGAGAATGATTTTCTAAACTGTCTTCCAGAGTAGTCCTAGATATGCAGTTGTTGGTCATTATACAGGCTTGTCATGCAGTGTACTTGTCTAGTACTAATCTTTCTGTACAACAGAGCCTGCCTTCAAACTTCTCATACCCTGGGGTTTTGAGCACAGCCCATTGTTCCAAGAATCAAAAGAGCAGGTCTGCTGCACCCAGTTTTACTTCTAACTAGGAAACTTAGAAAAGCCATGTAAAGGACCATCAATATCAGTTCTCACCCACAAAACAGAGATTATAATACCTTCCCTGTATTATAGGGAAGATAGGAGGAGAGAACCAGAACTGACTCCACAGAATTGTTCTCTGACCTCCACTTGCGTGCCACACATATTTTGCATATATACTTACAATAGTAATAAATTTTTTTTAAATCTTCCTATCTTTCAAACTTTAAGTAGAATTTAAATGCATGTTGTAGCTGGTAGGTTCCCTTGATTTGTAAATTACTACTAACAGCTAGCTTTATTCAGTATGTGGTATGGACTGTTCTGAGGCCTGCACCTTGTATGAATCATCTCACTGAATAAGATCACACCCTGCTTTGTCCTTTTTCAGTAGCCCCCAAGGGGACAGACAGGTTTATATTCCTGTACCACACAGCCATAGGTCATGCAGATCTCATCAGTCAGCTGTTATTTCTTTCAAACCTTCTTTGCTTGTTAGAGACTGTAGTTATCTTGATTTTCTTTTTTAAAGGGAAGTATAAGAGGCTATGTGGAATAAAGCCATAAGAAATGTTAAGTAGAAAGCAAGTGTCTATGTTCATTGTGACCTCTAGATATTTCAGAAATACTCTCTATTCATTAGATTAACCATTGCTACAAAACAAACAACCAAATCAGCAAAAGAATTCTCTCCTAGTTGGTTCTGTTTTTCCTAGGCCCAAACTTCTAATGTCCTTTCCTTGACTTAATTGGATGTGCTTATTACTGTTTGTGTCTATACAATAAAAAATGAATTCCCTGGCTGGTAACACTCATCATGGATAGCTGGGAGGAAATCCAGGGGAAGAGGGAAAAGGATAGAAAAGAAATGCCAAGGCCCTACCTGTAGTTCAGCTCTGTGGTTCACTTTTTACTGTGCTTGATTGGAGACCCTTCCGTTGCCCTTGGTCATTTGAAGACTCTAGAAAAACTCAGGACTATTAAACTAGAAGCTAATATTTGTAAGCCTAATCAACTCTAGAATAACTAGAGTAATCTTATTACATCTGATAAAATATATAGATTTATTCCATTCAAGCATATTATAAGCTGGCACTTACCAGTTATTAGGTTCTTTTGGTAATTTTTAGTAGACAGATGTATAAGGGCTATTATATGAGTCCTTCCCAACCTCACCAGGTGATATATTACACTAAAATCAGTTGTTAGACCAAGTACTGCATTGTTCATGTTAATAAGCAAGCAGGCTCTAGAAAAATCTGCCAGTTGGCCCTATAAAATTGAAAAACCAAATCCAAACTCTTATCTTTTAGGAAATCAAACAGCATCTTACATAAAAGCCCGGAAGTGAACCTAGCATTGTTCCCCCAGGTTCAGCCAGCTGGTGTTCTGCTTGACTTCAGTACAGAATGAGTTAGGAATGCTAGTAGATCTGCTGGGTTTGTTTATGGGGGGACTGACCCTACACTATCTGGGTCAATCCACATATCATTAACACTGCAAAGTTGATCAGTGAAAGGATTCACTTACTTATATTAGCAAAATCTAATATAGGGTTGAACTTTAAATAAAGCTTTTGTAGTAACAGCCTCTGGAGTGACTAGAGTTTTTTGAATGCTGATAGCCTCTTGAAGATATGTATTTCTGATTGGTACACTGCAAATATTAAACCAGACAGAGCTGTCATAAGACTGTTAGCATGTTTGAAAATAATTTAAAGAAATTATATTCAGTGTAACAATTTGACAAAGATTTCTCAGGATTTCACACTAGAGTGGAGTGGAAGTATTTCCTGCTCTCCAGTCAACAACTTGGAGAAGTACTGACATTTATCCATAGTAGCAACTTTCTCTCTCTTAGGATGTGATATGGCAGGAAGGTTGGGGGTGGGCACCAGATACTGTGAATATCAGTGCTATGCAAATTCATGGGAAAGTACAAGCGCTCCATGAATTGACAGCCAACTGACAGGCTTCTTGTCCTCTTGTGCTCCCATTCCACAGTAATTTTGTCACAGGTCCACAAGCATGTTTGTTATATGTAGGAGGCAGGTCACTTGATTCTGGAGAGAGAGAGATGTTCGTGGACTTAAAAGTTATTGTCATGTTCGAATTGCCATCTCAAACAGTCTTCAATCAACAAAAGGCAGTTTTCTGAGATGGTTCAACCTCTGCTTCCTCTAAAGGAAGAGGCCACACAGATGTCCTTTTGGGGGTTTCTTCAGCATATTTCTAGGAACATGCCCTGGGGCCCAGCACAGTTGCTGGTTTTGTGACCTACACTGGGTTTTGTTTATTTACATGGTACGGAATTTAACTGTGAAAGTCAGTTAGAGGAGATCTCAAGGGAACATCTCCCTGGGAAACCAGAACATTGGATTTGCTACACTGACTTATAACTATGCCCTGACCCACCACAGATGTGTCAGACAGCCATGAAGAGATGAGTTATATATCTTCCTCAGAGGTTAATTTCCCTTAATGACACACAATGGATCTATGATGCTCAGTTTCACACAATTTTCCAGCTGAGTGGATTGCCATTGTTTTGGTGGTCAGTACTCTTTCCATTAGTAATCAAACTTTTTAAATCCACCCTAGTGTATTGATCAAGCTAAATTAAATTCCGAAGTGTTATCACTGGCTCCTGGTCACAGAGGCAGCAGCCATGTGTCCTGCATGCACTAGTTTACACTGCCCACACTTAGCTCATTTATACCACTGTGCTTTTCATATGGTCTTATGAGAACTTACTGCAAAGACTCCCATTTTAGTTCCCATATAAGTATTTGCCATCTTTGGTTTCATTGTATAATTGAATTCCAAGTCATCTGTAAAAATATGTGCAGTAGCTGATACTGCTCCTGGATCCATGGGTTATTCTCCTTGTCCATCCACAGAAGTTCCTGTTTACCCTCTACCTTCTGTTTCTATTTCTAAGCCGGTGCTGTGTGACAACATCTGTCCAGCCTGTTCACTCTCCATGTGGCCTTAACCTCTCAACATCTCTCCTTCTCAGCTTTATCCCTTGAAGTTAGTGCTCTCTACCTCACAGGGGTTGTTCAGGTCGCAGGGGGGATAGGATGTCTGAGGGTTATCTTCAACAAAGAGCCTTCTTTCAAAGTGATTTTACAAAAGCCCCTTGCCTTAGAAATGAGAAACTCTCTACCTATTTTTTTTTCTATTCTTATTTTGCTATTTTTACTTCTGAAAAGTGATCTCTGTCTGAAAAGAGGCTTTATTCTGGTTTTGACTTTTTCTTCATTTAACCCTCTTCAAACTGAAACCTCCACCTTGTCCATGCTCTGAACTTTTTACTTAGAGAACCAAAACTAATTCTCCTAGAAACCCCAACACTTTTATTACTGTCATTAAAAAAAAATTAATGTCCTCTGCAAAAGAAAGCTCTAGCTCTTCCCACAGGAAGCCAGAAGCCAGTGAGGCTTACCACAAATGTGTAAACTGAAGCTAATCCAGTTGTTTCATGGTATCTAGGTATTGTGAATCCTGACCATAAATGCTGAAAAGCATTTTGCACATGGCCTGCACTACATAAGTGGATAATGGATAATCTAGAAAGTCTTCAAGTAAGAATATGTATAGCTCAATTCAGAATACTATCTACCCATTGTTTTCAAAGGAAATGTTTTGCTGACCTGTTCTTCTTTTAATAGTAAATAATAGTTTCTAGTTATGTGAATTATTTTCATTTTATTGTGTAGAAAGTATTCAATGCTATGTATTCCTGCTTGTCAGAAAATACTCACATTATAATTTTAAGCATTAGAACCAAAAGAGTTTAAAGTATAGTTGGATGAAGAAGAAAATTCCAGCTCAGATATTGCAAAATACAGAAAGAAATATAAAGATTAGCTTAAAATTTGAAATTATATTTTAAATAGTAGATATTAATGTGGTTTTTAAAATAGTCTTTAAGTAGCCAGAAATTGTCTTTTATTTTTGCAGTTTTGATATATATGGCTCTTTAGATCTTTTGAATAAAGTTTTTTAAGCTAACGTGTCTTTCATTTATATTATCAATAAAACAATTACTAAAATGCTTTCAAAATCAGTGATCTGGTTACATGATTCTGAAATGCACAAACTGAAGACAATATGAAATACTTCTGTACTTGAGGCTTTTTAAAAAAGATTTTAAAAGTAGTAATGAGTGCTGTTAATGCTTCAAGATATAAATTATTTTAATGTGTAGGGTATGGATTATTTTATCATATAAGTGACTATCATTGTAGCTAGTTATCAGAATTATATAGTACTTTTAAGAAAGAGGCTATATTTATTCCAGTTAGCAAATTGTTCATCATTCATTGATTAACCCCTAGTCACTAAAATTACCTTCCTTTTAGTAAATTATACCAATACTCACTTTTATAAATGGTCATTGTGTTCCTCTTTATCAAAAACAAGTGAACAAAGTGGGCACTTACAGCAGATTTTTCAACTTGGCAATGCTGCACTAGGCTGTAAAATCTCAAAGTCTAGGAACCACTTTTTTTTTTTTTTGAGACAGGGTCTCCTTGTAGCCCCAGCTGTCCTGGAACTCACTATGTAGACCAGGCTGGCCTCGAACTCACAAAGATCCGTCTGCCTCTGCCTCCCAAGTGCTGGGATTAAAGGCATGCACCACCATGTCCGGCCTAGGAAACTAATATTTTTTTTTCTCCTTCTACAAATATTTTTGTTAACTTTTAAAAAATTTATTGAGAATTTTATATATGCATATAAGGTGCTTTGATCAAATTGACACCCACTCCCTCCCATCCAACTCTTCCCTTATCACCCCATCACTTTTTCCTGAACAACTTCATGTACTCTTTTTCTTTTTTTTAAATGAGACTTTTAGCTTCTCTGACATTCCTCCCTCTGAAGAGGTAACCCTAAAATCATTTAGGGATTAGATAAGAACTCCCAAATACTTTTGACATATTTGGCCTTTGGAATAGAGTATGTTGCTAAGAGGCCCAAGGACATTTTGGATTTTTGGCTACTTTTCTTTGGGGTCTTTTTACCCCAACTGCCTAGCCAATTCCTACCTTCTATTCTTATCACACCATCCCCTGAAGAGGTTATCCAGTTTGCTGATAGGGAATTGGGATGCAGACTGGTCTCTCTGGCTTCTTCCATGCTTAACAGGGATGCACAGTGAGGCAATTGGGGTACCTCCTCAGTGGGTCTATCTAAAAGACTCTCAAATTGCATAACTACTAACTGTAGGGAGAAAAGAAAGTCATTGACTGGTACCTAGGAGATGTAAAGGAGAAGTAAAGGCAAGAGTAGTTAGCATTACAAGTTCTAGACAGGGAACCAGGAAAAAGTCAAAATGGCAAATTTCAAATGTTCATATTAGAGTCCATTGGAATTTCATGACAAGAGCTTCCAAAAGCATCCCTCCTTTGGGTTCCTCCTCATTTTTCTATTGTCTGCCAAGGCTGGACTTGAGAGTGATGGACTCAGGATTTGTTTTCAGGCACATTGATAGTTGTTGAAGTGGCTAGAAGCAGTGTCAGTTCCCTGGCAAAGGCTTCTAGATAGGGGGAGAAAACAAATTTAGCCATCATTTTAGGACAATAGTGGGTTGTCTCCCTTACCTACAAGTGGGCACTACAGTATTGCAGAACAAGATTTGAAATCTTACATCTGAGCAGCACTTTGTGATTAGAAACAAAATCATCAATGAGAAATAATTGTCTAACCATTTTATATGGACTTAAGTCTAATGTCTGGGAACTGTAAACTCTTGAACTCTTAAATACACTCATCACTTTATCTTTGGTTATACTTTCCTTTTGGGTGTTTAAGACCATACAGTTGGCCCAAATCAATTTATTTTTACTCTTAGGTCATTTAATGTTTCCTCTGTGTTGACCCTCTTCTTTGTAGACTGGACACTGGTTCAAGTCCATCTCGTGGAGTCTCCATGGCCTCCCTGAACAAGAGGACAGGTGACTCATCACAGTTACAGGACCTTTTGAGAGATATTCTATGGCCCCCTGGAACTTAGTTGACCTTGGAGGGCAAGGGGCAAAAACTGTCCTTTAAGTCCTTCTGACCAGATTAGTATAGGCCTCAAAGTATGGCTGCTAAACATCTAAAAAGGTTAGTTCCACCAGTCTGGTACTTTTACCATGTGCTATGTAGATAAAACTTGGGCAAAAACCAAACATTCTCAGATAAAGCTTAACGAGACATATATTTTGTTCCTTGAACTAGTTGACTAAACTATGACCTTAGAAATTTAAGATTATGTGTATATTATTTTTGTCTCATCCTTTATTTATCATAACAAACCTACGCAGACCTTCATCACTTGCTTAGGCTTTCTCATTTTTTCTATTTTGGAAAATATCTCCATTCCCATATCCTTTTAACATCTTTTACATTCTCATTTTCTTTTTTAATAATTATGAGACATAATAACATTAACAAATTTTCCATCTGTTTGTGATAATTCTTTTCCTGGGGATACTAAACAATGTTTATCCCCTTCTAAGGTTCTAGTGTCAAACCAATGTTTGATTAAAGTTTTCCTGGGGAACCAATGAATTTACTGAGCTTATTTACAGAGAT